GTCGCTATATTAATTCGCGCGGCTGGCTGATACAAAGACCTACGACATTATGCGATAATACATCTCACGCCCAGACAGCGATACATATTTAGCTTATCACACGTTTACGCCACAGTGCTGACGTAATTTATTTTAACATTCGTTATACGTAGTAGCTCCGTGTCTTCGGTATTACTCGCATAAGTTAGTATTCATAATCAGTTCTCATATCAAGATAGGTAATCTTATCACAAGTAATATATTAAGATCCTAATATGATTTTGTGATTGGCTCATGATATCTTAAGATTGTACTTAAATGATCTTAATGTAAAAGTTGATTACTTTGGGGAAAATTTTCTTAAATTTTTGAACATTTTTCAGAATACTGAGAAAGTCTATTTTTTTTCTTAAAATTTTTTATATACGTGAATTGTGAAATATTCAGATTTTTTATTCTATAATTTCTAAAAACATACCTTAAATTTTTTAAAATTTTATAAGATTTTATCCTTATATTCATTTATTAAGAACTTGTAGTCTTTCTCAGCACTTTGAAAGGTTCCCAATTTGTATAAAAAATTACAGAAATTTTTTAAAAAGATATAAATTATTCAGAAATTGTGAAAAATTTTTAAATTTATATAAAAATTCTACAAACTTATATGAAAAATTTTGAGAAAAATTTTTATCAGAGTATGAATACTGGCCATATAAACAGACTTAAATTCGTATCACACTATGCATTAGAGATCAAGGATTGCGAAGTGAAAATTAGAATTTAACCAATCGGAACGAATTCTAATCTAAAATTTTAATCTCCAATGCGTAATGTAATATGGGCTTTATTTTAATCTCGGTTTAATTTATTCTTTTTGTAATTCTTTATTCTTAAAAAGCTATAGAAAAATATAAAGAATAGATTAAACCAACCGAGATTAAAGTTTAATCTATAGTAGAAATAAACATTATACGATCATGCTGATTACATAATCAATATACAAATGCAAACTCTGACAGGCAAAAAATATTGAGTTTTTCCTTTTGGAATATTTCAGTTTGAAAGAATCAAATATTTTCATTTATTCAGAACTGACACATTCCACAATTAATAATAAAATTACATACTTTCGAACATTATAACGCTATACTTTAACTTCAAATATCAGCTACTTAGACTTCCTTCCATGTTTATATATTCGATATATTTGCATTTGACATCACCTTCAGTTTTTTTTTTTACAAAAACATGCTCTGAAATTCGTCAACCGACTTTTACAGAATCAACAAAACGATCGTAAATACATTCTAAACTTCGTTCGAGCGAAACAAACAACCAAGTCGTAGATTAGATCTGCTATAACGTAGCATTAAGCGCTCGCATGTACATTGCGTGACCCATGTACTCTTCGACGTGCGGTGCTCGCAATTTACTCGTCAACGTAATACACACATACATGATAATTGTCTCGTCCGGCGAGTCACGATCCGACGATTTCGGAGCTTCAAATAATGCCGATTACAACAGATCGTGCGCTAATTGAGATAATCTTTCAAACCTACGGAGCGTTCCGAGAATCGACAAAACATCTCCGGCAACCTTCCGTCAGGATTACTTCCTTCTTTCATTTTTGGCATCAGCTCCGCGTTGTCGTTACGGATACGAATTATTGCAAAGCGGATGAGTCGAATTGGTGTCGAGGCGAAGGGAAAGGGGGGAAAAAGGATCGTCCCGAGAATGACGCATGACTCACCCGGCACTTCTGGATTCTCTATGACTTTGGCGCTGGACATTTTTCTGCCTCTGCGAAGATTGTACTCAAACGATACTCGTTTCTATCGAGCACAGCTCGACGGAGGATTCTCGCTACGACTCACGTGGATGTCGCGATTCCGCGCCGCGGTTTCGTCGACCTCCTCGTCGTCGTCGTCCTCGTCGTCGTCGTCGTCGTCGTTGTACCCGTTGTTGTCGTTCCGTGCTCGTCACCGTTTCTCGTCGCGTAACGGCACGTAACGTCACACCGGACACACTGTAGCTCGCACGTCGACATCGACTGTCGCTTGTCCGGGGCGAAAAGTTTGGTGAGGTTAATTCAGGCGAGTTTGACACAAGCCGACGACATTACGCGAACGCGTGATATCGATCCATGGCGCAAGATGGCTGCACGCATCACGCATGTCGCGCGGGACCGATCAGTCTTATCGAGATTGCTCCCAATTGTTCTAACCTCTAAATCCAAGCGCTTCGACGCTCCGACTGTCCGTCGTATATGATCGTCGTGAGGAAGGTTCGATTTTGCTGACTGGTACGGTTAACCCATTCACGAGTTCATCAGTTCATCGCGATGGAAGACGAAATAGGTGACGAGCTGCTTCAGTGTCTCGAGAAGAAAATCGCCAGTGGACACAGCATGGTCGAGAGGTTGAAGCTCATGGACAAGATCGACGGAATTGATAAACTGATACGGAAGATTCAGCAAGAGATAAAATTTCTGGAGAAGGTAAAAGAGATACTGATTAAATTTTATACAGATAATAGGGGTGCTTTCTAACAATTAAAGATACAACTGTCACAAGAAAAGCGTTACATCCTTAATAGTTGGCAATGTTAAACAAAAATCTTTTTATAATTCTTAAAATTTTAAGAATTAGATAAATCTTATATTGGTGGAATCTTTTTTTAATTCTAAGAATTAGAAAGATTTCACCAATGTAAGATTAATTTTAATTTAGGTTCAACTTATCTTTTTTTAATTAGAATTCTACTAATCTTAGAAAAGATAAACAGTAAGTTAAATCGAGATTAAGTTAACCTTACATTGATGGAACCAGGCCTAGGACTGTTCTTTTTAGCTGAACTTCTTGAACGGTTCAACTTTCCTCTTTTTCATTTTGTTGGAGAGAAAAATGGAATAGATGAACTATGTTGTATGAACATATTCAATTAAAAAGAATAGATCTTTTATATCTCTTGAATCTTCTTGAAATCTCTTTTGTCACTTATTGGAAAGTATATGTCTCGAATGAATCTATCACGATCTGGAGTAAAAGTTTTAGAGTCAAAAATCAATTACACTAAACAAGAATTGTAATAATAATAAAATAATATTTATAATTAGAGCTTGGAAACTTTCGCATCAGTCAAATTCCCCTTTGACTCCGATAAAAAAATGTCACTCTATCAGCAAGAGTAGTTTCAAGTTTCTCAATTGACAAGAGTATCTTCACTTTTTTGTATTAACAAGATGACTTGCCTTCCGAAATTAGATGTAACGAAGATATAATATCATTTCATGTTGTATTATATTCAGCGCACAACGAACAATTTTCTATTCTTCAATCTTTGTATAATTTGTGCTTTGTAACTTATTACATTTCTTGTTGATGTCTTAATCTTAATATCTAACTTATATTATACTGAAGATGGTCTAATATAGACCGAAACGTCTATACTTTTGTAATTTAAATTATAATATAATTTGCCATTGAAATCATGCGTTTTGTGGTTCAATGCCCCATTGTTATTATTGTTTTTGTCTTATAGCCACTATTATTACTTATTTTTAAAAATCAATTCTCCATCTGATAGAATAGATCTTCAGCAAGCCAGTCGAATTAGCAGATTAATAACTTGATGCTTTTCTTATACAGGTACAATGTACAGGAAACTTGAAGAAGAAACATCTTCAAAGTTCGAATCTGACTCATCTCGATGCTATGGTGGCTCGACTATCCTGTGCAAAGGATCCCATCAGCGTAATGAGACCCTTCAAGTATCAGAAATCACGTCTGGAGGTTGATATAGTATGTAATAGTGGCGCTTCGTGGGTGAAGGTTATAGCAAGAAACGCTAGAGCATTAACTCTAATATCTCTCGGCAATGGAGAATACGGACAGAAATCTGTTCTGGACCAAGCCAATTCGTACCTTGTATGTAGCAAGTGTCATCTCCATCACTATAGACCGCCAGATGTGATATTTCATTTTGCTTACGGCGTAGAGGTTTCGCTGGCCTTGCAATTGGAACAAATGGGCATCATAGTGGAAGGAGATAGAATAGATACAAACGACGAGAACTTGAACAGTCAGTACAATTTATCTCTGATAAATATTTAAAGAAAATTAACTATATCATGTGAAAATAATTTCATTGTATACTTATTGTTCTCTTTTTGTTTTTTGGAGGTAGAACAAGATAAACTGGATTTCTCCAAAGGATCTACAAGCGATTCTGGAAAGGATTTGGATGTGGATTTGCAGTCGTTAAATACGTCTGTTCTGTCAACCGAAATCAGACTCCTGAATCTCGATGTATCAGCGCTTTTGGCTTACGTTACGAATATGGCTAATGGATATAATAATTACGTTTATCGGGAGCCATTACTTACGCAACAAGCAGAAATGGAAAAAAAACGTCCCATAAAACCGATTCTAGAAAATTTGTTTCGGGACAAAGACCTTATAATCTGCCGGACAGCATATAACAATTTTATGAGTATCATCGATGTTATTGGTGGTCCGAATGAAACGCAGCGTGCTCAAGAATTGTTAAAGAAAGTCCGAATCGTTGACGATGTTACCACTGGACGAATTATGGAGCTCCGCTTAGGCGGTAAAATTAAAGATCGATCGCGATTGATTTTTGCAACGGGCGAAAGTATGAAAAGCATTACAGTTTCTGCTAATGAAGGATTTGTAAGAGCGGCGCGCATGCAAGTAAATATATTCAGCATATATAAAATTGTTTTACTGTCAGTTTTACATCACAACGAGCAGTATTATAGATATTTTATTTTTTTCAGGGCATTGAATGTACAGTTTTCTTACACGAACCACGATCTCTATCAGAAGTTAAAGAAGGTAATGCAACAAGCATAGAGCAATCTTGATATTATTCAGAATATCTAGGCAATCATAAAGAAAATATATACTGGTACTAAGCATTTCTATATATATATTGTTAATTTATTATATTAATTTATATACATTATATAAGACGACGTTTATATATTATTTCTCTGGAGAAAGAAGCTACTATATTTCATCATTGATTATCTGAACGTTGGATTTGTTAAATTGAAGCTCTATATTTTCTTGAAATTCTGCAAAATATAAAATAAATTGTTATTACATAAAAGGCGATGTGTAAGATTAAAATATTCAATAATACCATCGATAAATTTGTTGAAATGAGGATTCTTTTCTTTGGCTATCTGTATACATTCTTTACTTTTCTCCCTGTTCCTAAGATGCATATAACATTTAGCGCTATTTAAAAGAGCTTTTAAGTTTGAGGCATTCAGTTTTAACGTCCACTCGCAGTCGTGCAAGGCTTTTTCAAATAATCCGAGATTCACATATGATAACGCGCGATTATTCCATAATACAGCAGAATCTTTACGTTGTTCCAATGCTTTACTATAATAAGTCACGGCCTTTTCGTAATCGCCTTCTTTAAATGCACCGTTTGCAATTCTCTTTAATGTTTCCGCTCGTTCATTTCTAATCTTACGTTCTTCAGCTCGTTTTTTAGCGTCGTTTTCCACGCTCTTCATGAATATCTCTATTTATATAAATTGCGTCAATTTATAATTTGCTCGCCAAATAGACCAAACAATAACATAATACATGTATAAATGTACCTCGCGACATTTGATTCGGATCATTATTTGAATCATGTTCCTTTGACGGATATTTATTAATTATTGACCGATCGGTTTTAACTTTTATCTCGCCGTCTCCATAGATTTCTTTTTTAACACCTTGTTTTAACATCTCATCGGCTAACTTTTTCCCGCATTCTTGCTCTTGTTGATCGAAAGATGCTAACTTTTTCACGATTTTTTCTTGAACGACGAATTTTATTGATACAAGTAAATTTGCAATATAATTACATGTCATACTTACCCACTTCAGTGACACGATGCATGAAATTTTGAAACTCTTCTTCTGTTACATGTCTATCAGGGTTTAATTTATTAACAATATCATTTGTCTGTTCTATTTTATCACAACTTACTTTATTCTTCATATCCATTCTTTATGTAAAATCGTAGGAACAATTGCAAAAATCTTTTGTGTGAGCTATTATAAGGAGAAGTGTCAAGTTTGCTTCCAAGGAAACGGCTATATAACAGAGTTGCTATGGTTTGTTACGCTACATATCTACTATGGCTGCTTTCTTTTTAATATAATTGACATTTTTAACACAAAGTTAACACACGTCGCTTTCCATTTATTTATAATTTTGTTTAAATTCAATCATACTTTTCAACTCTGTTGGCAAAGAGAGTCGGAATGTGTTCAAATGTCATTTTGAGTGATATCAGGACACATCTGCAAATCAGCTTATTTGTAATATACATAGGGTGCTCTCCAGCAAGAGACACATGGTGCTTTCCATCACAAGGACACAGTCAGACACTATGTGACACGATGAATCGTTTCATTCTTGTTTAACGTAAACAAACAACAAGCACTGTTAAAAAAAGAGAAATTTGCTTCCGTTATATGAAATAGAAGCAATTTCCAGCAGGTACATTAAAAATATTTAATGTTGTCAATGAAAATGAAGTTATAAATAAATTTAATGTTTACTATTTATATATCACTATTTATATATATATTGTATATATGTAGTAAATTTCATGCAAATCTATATAAAATTTATTAAAAAATGTATTAAACTTTGTAAAATTTTATGAAAAGTACACTAAATTTCATATACATGTACACAAATATACTTTTCAGTTGCAAACACATTAAATTTAATTTAATGTCATAAAATTGAATTTAATTTGTGTAACTTAAAAGTAATATAACGATTTACTGTATTACATTGCGTCTGATTGTGTCCTTGCTGAAAAGTACCCACAGATAACACAGTGAATCGTAGTATCCTTGTTTACCAATATTAAACAAAGATGAAATGATCATTGTATTACACCAAGTTTCTTGTTGAAAAGCACCGTTTGAAAAATTTTAAACTAAGGATGGCAGTACAAAGACTTGCATAAGGCATAATAGAATCAGTTAATTAGAATTTTTTATTTCATAGAAAGGAAAGAAATGAAGGATTTTTGATTGGCCTTCATTATAAATTTTGTGAAATTAGGTATTAAAAATTCGCACACACTGCGCATATGGTGGTCTATTAATTGTGGCAAATTGTTCCGTGAGTGTTGATTTCGGTCGATTTATGTCTCTTAAAAAGAAAGCAGTCTGTTATATTATGTACATATAAATCGATCTTAGAGCCAGTTGATTCACCTTCGAATAAATTACGACAACTATGTAGAAATTTATTTAATAGATAAAAGAAAGAGCGAAAGACAGAGACGACGAGCGAGTTGAAATTTATCAAAAGGTGAAACAATTCAGTCATAATGTATCTATTATCAATTGAATTATCGCATAAATGAAATTTACATCAAAGAATAATTTTAATCGTACACGTAGATTTTAAAATAAGTTATGATTTGCACAGCTTTATTATAAAACAGCAAGCTCATGCAACGTAAACATTGAGGAAACGATGATTAATTATTGTACAAGTCTGAAACTTCAAATGTCATGTATATGAATATCAAAGTGTAATATGTGAGAACATGCAACAATACTTATATACATTTCTTTATCGATTGATGAATCTTAATCACATTAACTGTTTGAATCTTTTCTAGGTGGAAGGTCCTTATAATGAGCGCTCTTATTTATTGACTGGACCAATATTTGAGAATACAACTGTTGCATGGTTTTATTGCTTTCCAAGTTCTCATTGTCAATTTCATCAACTTCTAAAGGATCCATGTCAACGTCTTCCTCCATGTCAGAAGATATATCGATTTCATCCTTTATGTAAACTGTATTTAAATTGTTATCTTCACTCGAATTTTTCTTAACTTTTCTCCTATCTAAAGGTTCGTTTATTTTATTATCTGACACAGAAGTGGATGGTTTTCCTGCTGTGATCTCTACTTCGTCCATAATACAACGCACTTTCTGAAAAGATAATGGTTTGTTTGTTATTGTGGATAACACACTTGGCCAACTGATCTCGGGATATGTCGGAAAGTCTTTTCTCTTTCGCTGCATGGGGGACATTCTTCGCACTCCTTTACTTGTACTTGGCTCGTTAATGTCTATAATACTGATACCGGAATTGCTAGTCTCTAGCCGTTGACACAACTCGCTTATGTTAATCTCTTCGTTCTTCGGCGTTTCCTGAGGAACTTTGGCTGTCGTTTTGTAAGGATTCGTCTTCGGAGCAAATCTTGTCTGCGGAGTCGTTCTGCCTTGTGTTTTCGTGCTTGTCTCATGTTCTGAGCTGACATTGCTTTTAACAGGTGAATTCTTGGCTTCCTCCAGTTTTAATCGCGACACCGTCGTCGTCTTCTTCAACGCGTCGTAGTACTCGTTGTTAGAACCTTCGGACAGCAACGATGGCGGGAGGTGCCGGAGTCCGGTGACTTCCAGGGTCTCTGCCAGTTTGAGCAATCTCCTAACCTCGCTCTGAACTACCTGTATCTCACCACAGTACATGAAATTCACGAGAGTCTTGAGATCATCAGCCTCGATGTCGTGCAGGACGATCATCGGATGCGGATGATCGTTGGCCAGAAGCAACCGACGGAAGAAGGAGCTCGAATTGGCCAGTACCATCTTGTGACATTTGAGAATCGTACCGTCCTTACACGCCAGGGAGAGATCGACGAATTGCTGTTTCTCGTAACAAGTGTCGAGCGAGCCCACCATGTGCGTTGGGAAGCTCTGCCACTTGAAGCTCAGCACGGAATCCTCCTTCATCGTTGCGCTTTTAAGTCAACTCTTCAAGTCAGAGATCTCGTCAAATTTCGTGATCAAGCGACGCGGGACATTTGATTAGCGGCGTTTCTAACAACAGTACTCGCCATGACACCACGTGCCGCTGTTGTGCATCGTCGTCGTCACGTCACGAAGCCGTCCAAAGATGGGGGATGGAGATATTGAAGATGGAGCTGAGACGAAGATGTTAGATTGTAGAGCAACGTAGAGGTGGATTTTTCCAGTAGGACTTTTCGTACGCATGCGTGAGTACGTCACTGCACGATCACGTGATCATTTTCTCCATTTTTCCGTTTCGTTCTCGAAAGATTTGTTGTCCCGATTGCACCAATGTTACTTTAATTTTAAGCGAGGCTTAAAACTCTCTCCGTCTCTATCGGCTTTAAAAAAAGAATGAGGGAATGTTAAGCTTTTAAAATATTCATAGACATATTGTACGTATATTTACGCACATAGGTGTGTTAAAACGCCCCAAACAAATTTTATTTTTATAGTTGTTTTTTATACATTAGCATTTATACAGTTAAATTTACATTATATATTTTATGAAACAGAGTAATGTAAACATAATAACTGAACTTTTCAAGACTTCTGAACAATATTTTTTTTCCTTTTTCAAGGTTTTTGAGATAATTTTTTATTTAATTTTTACTTACTCAATTTTTATATTATCATCAGGTTGTAATAAGTCTAACTATAAAACCAAGAAATTAAAAATCTTGCTTAATTTAGTTATATTAAATCGGCTAATAACTAGAAATTTTTACATTACCATCAAATTAAGCAAGACTATAAGTCTAAACCACGAATTAAAAAACTAAAAAACCGGACTAAAAAACTTAGAATGCATTCAGGGAGACGCTAGTGCTATTTGTGGCATTTTATCCTTATTTTATGTCTAATGAACGCTAAAGATAGACTGAAGAGGACAAAAATTTTGAAATTCCCGCCAAATTCGGGCTGCTCGACTCGAGATATCGAAGATCGAAGGGTCGAAAGTCGCGAGGTCTCGACGCTCGTCGGTACGCTCAACCGTAACGGGGGCGACTTCTCGACGGTCCAATTGGCTTCGATAATTGCAAATGGTCGTTTAATAACAGATGATTGAACGCGTAACGCGGCGCGCGGCGTGGCATTTATCTGTCAAAAGCGGTGGCGGCCGGCCGACGAACGTTGTGATGCGCCGTCGGCTGACGCGCGTCCGTTGACCGTTGAACCGGCGAGGCGTGGATCTGCGGACGCTCCGAAGGCTCGTTACTTTTCCCGGCTCCGGCAACGACGGCGGGCGACGGGGACGACGACACGACACGACGGCGGGCGACGGCGCGGCGCGGGAGAGCGAGAGAGCGACAGAGAGGACGAGACGCGCGAGCGTGCGGAGCGAGCGACCTTTGAATAACCGACGCGTACGTTTATTATTATGTGATTGCGGGTCGCGCGCGGGTTGACGGCGTAACAAGACAGACGATAGGAAGAAAGCTGAAGGAAAATGCGGAGCACCGACGTTCTCTGCTATCTCATCGTGGCGACTCTCGCCGTTCTGTCGACACTCGGTCGTGCAGGTGAGTACGCACATTGGATTTATTCCTCGAGAGTATATACATCGTGGAGCAGCCGGGATAGAAAGAGAGGAGAGAGAGAAAGAGAGAGAGAGAGAGAGAAAGAGAGAATATATCGTGCCAGGCCCGCTGTCTGGCTGGTAAATTAAAGCCCGAGCGAAATTGGTTCGTCCGAGCGAGCCGCCGCAGTCACCCCAGCTTAACCACAATGGTCTTCTTCCGCTCTTTCTCTCTCCCTCTCTTTCTTTCTTTCTCGAATGCCTCTCGATCCCTCCGTCTCCGTCGTTCCTTCTCGAAATCACGGGTCTGAGAGAGCACCCTCGGCCGCTACGCGGAATCGTCCAGATCAACCCGCAACACGTGTGACGCTCTTGTGAACTCTCGTTCCTGCACTTCCGGCAGTTTCCACGCCGAAAATGATGCGTTAAAAATGCGCTTTTCACGACGAGAGATATCCGCCGAAACTTATCCCGGGTATTCTCTAAATTCTTTGGAGTGAAATCTTATTCCAGAGTGAAAACTGAGCCAGTCTTATAAACGAGTGGCTCAGTTTTCAATCTTCACCTAAGGAACACATAAAAGTCAATAAAAAAATCAAATGGCTTTATTTTGATTCTTAACGTCAATAAACAGTCAATAGTTAAATTTTGTAATTAAAAGAATCATCATTTTGACTTTCATGACGTCAAAATAATGTTATTCCGACTTTCTCTTCACTCGGTATGTTTTTTCGGTAAGAATGAGGTTTCATCAGTGAGATTCACTCTAAAGGCTTTAGAGAGTAATCGACGTTGATTCTTACTTTTATATTCTATTTTATTTAAATAGTTGCAATTTTTATGCGCTTCGCAGAAATACAGGAAATACTACCGGCGATAATTTAACAATATCATGCTCTGCGATCCGTGGACAGTACACGCAATATGATAAAAATGCAAATAATTGACAACAATGCAAATAACCGAGGATCGTTTTAAAAAGTATCGAGTTGCTCCGTAAAAATGAAGCTCGATGGAAATTTCGCCCGTGACTTTCTCTATTGACACAATCACCGTAATTTTTTTGTAGATAAAAACACATTGAAATAACG